AAAGCCAGTTAGATTGTTAACCGTTTTTTCGCAATGCTCAGATCTGTAACAATTTCTCTCCCATGCGCAGCTCGCTAACCGGTTTTTTTTTTTTTTTTTTTTTTTTACTTGCCAATGCAGTAATGCGCCAAATTAACATTTTCGCCAAGGGGCTGCTTTTTTTTTTTTTTTTTTTTTTTTTAACTTCCTTGTAATAAATAAACGAAATATTGTAATAGCGAAATATTTTGGGTACCTTATTTCAACATTTTGACTATGTTTTTGCGTTACGTCGGCATGTACGGACAGGATAAAAGACTTTTTCTTCTAAAACGGGTTGTAAAATGGATTTCTTCGTGAATTTGTACGTACGTATGTATGTATCTGGTATTCCTCAAAAACGATATAGAACGTTGAAACTTTGTATATGGGACTGCACTAAAATCAGTTGGTCACCTCCCCTTTTTAATGCAATCAATTTCGAAAGGCAAAAATATGTGTGTATATATATATATATTTCTTTATGCACATACTTTTGGTATGGTATGCATACATACTTTATATGTATGTGTGTATACATCATATACATTTGGTTGATATGTGTGTGTACATATATATACATATATACCAACCCCCCTCACCCGGCTTAAAAGCCCAAATACAACCTTTACTTTCACAATCCTAGCTATTTTTCAAACGTGGGTGTTTATGAGCCATTCATTTCGAAAGGCAGTGTTGAATATTTTTGCGTTTCTCAGAATTCACACGTTTGTTTACAGACAATTATTATTTAACATTTTAAAATCTTAGTCACGGATCACAAAAATATTTAAGAAAACAATTAATCAAATGTGTGAAAACCAGAGATTAATTCTGAAAAATAAGTGCATTCATGCGCTGCAATTTTAAGATGACCAGATGCTAATTTTTATTTAAGCCTAAACCAATTATTATTTGTTATAAATTCATTTTAGTATGTACAGTTTTTGACATTTATAAATTTCAGGACACATTAAATAAATAATTTGATGTGTACACCACATGACATATTTGTACGGAATATTAAATTATACGCATTTTTTCCTGCATTTCATTTAAACTTATTGGATTGAATTAAATAATGCTTCGCCGACAGCGCATAAACCACAATAGAATAAATGCATTCTTTAAAATTCACTTTAGTATTTGTTTACCATAGCGACACTCTGGCGCTAGATTCACTTAACAGTATTAATAATTATATAACAGTTAACTTATATAATAATTATATAACGGAAACTAAGTTAACTGTAATCCAATATTTATATAACAGTTAACTTATATATTTCGTTAATATTATAACTCATAATGCACAAAATTTATATCATTTAAAGAATAGAATTATCTAATCGTTGCCACATGTTCTATTCAAATACTATAATAAAGCTAAAATGATGTATAAAAGAAATTAAGCAAAGAAAACAAAAAAGAAAAAGTTTTTCACAGACGATTGAGTATTTCTCATTTAATTAATTCAGTTCTCACTTCGCGAGAAGGCAAAAATACATAAAAACTCAAACTATCTTTATTAAAAATTACGAAGTAAATCTTAAACACTTATTTCCTCGAAAAAATTCCAGAAAGAATTAAGCATGATTTAATTGGCAATAATAAATGAATGCGTTATCTTTGTTGTTGCGAAGCTAAGTTTCTCTAGAATGGCAACAAATCCACTAGTCTGCTGTTTCAAATGTAAACATCAATGGCCGCCATAAAAAAAAAGACTTAGCGGCACTTAGACAACTTTAAAATTGTTGATAATTCTAAACATATTGCATACAGATTTACTAAAGGCATAAAAACCTTAACCGGAAGATAAAAACAACATAATACAATCATTTTTAAAGCAAAAAAAATGTACAATTTACAAACATATAAGAGTAAAGAAAACTGAGATCACTGAGCCGGGTAACAGAGTGGATATATATATAAATATATTTATATACATTTGGTGCGGCCGATTGCAACCAAAATACGAGGTGCACATCTACATGTTATAGCAGTCCTACATACAAAATTTCTACGTTCTGAGGCTACTCGTTTTTCAGTTATGCGAGATAACGTACGTATGTACGTACATACGTTCGTACAGACGCCACGAAAAATTCTATTCAGAATTGATTTTAAAGCAGTTTTATAGTTTTTTTGAAGGAAAAGAGTATTTTATTCTGTCCTTACGTACAGATATCACGCAAAAACATCGTAAAATTGCATTCGATAACGGCCAAAATGGATATTTTTGTTGAAATATGCTGGCTGAAACTTTTCGCGATTACAATACTTCCTTTTTACTTCGTACAAGGAAGTTATAATGTTGCGCGCCTCCAACTTGCACGCAACCAAGAGGTGACTGTGAAAACTTGTATAAAAGATAGAGCCTTGTGAAGGGTTTAAGTCCCTTTTTATTCAACGTAATAAAATTACAATTGCGTGCTCTTGACGCTCACAGACTGTGCCAACTTGGCAGTCAAAATAAAAATAATAACCTGAAAAGAAAGTAAAGACAAGATTCTAACTACGAGGCTCTCTAAAATAACTAGCTCACCGCGTTTTACAATACCGCTGCTAATTCAGCAGACTTGAAGCTCACTGGAACGATTACCACTACTTCCCGCCAAGCACATAGGCCGAAACGCGGGGTCCTTCAAATTCTCGCTAACTACCTCCGCGCTCGTGCAGTAAGAATATCACACACCGAACTTGTTTCCTCTCTATTTAAATCATACTACTTCCGCTGATAATTTGAATCCTTGCGCGTTCTACTCAAATTTACATATTCTGGCATTGGCAGTTCCAGGGGAAAGTAAGGCTTGACAGGAAAGATAGTTTAAACTTAAAATAAATGTTAGTTAAAATAAATATAAACCCTACAAAGTAAAACGGAAAAAATCTGTAAACTTTCAGTTTTTTTATATTACGCGCAAATGGGCTTTTTTTAACGTTTTGTGTGTTACCTTTATTTATTAAATATCATGTTCTTCACGCTTAAACCATAAAATTTAATTCAACAAAAATATCGCAAAATAATTTTAAAATGAGCATATCTTTAAAATTTTCGATACACTGTAAGTTTAGTATATTATATAAAGAATGAAACTTTCAACAAGATTCTGGGACGTAGCTTTGAAAATTTGCTTTCTTGAATAAGGTTGTTGGCACCTTTTTCAAGTTAGTCATCATTTATCAGGACTTAAGAGATGACACTTTTATGAAGTTCAGTTTACATTTCGAAGAATGTAACCTTCATCAAGAGGCCAAGACGTCCATGATCAGATTTTTATTTTAGTGAATAATCTCCGGCGTGCATAAAGGTCCATGCACGCTTATGAAGTTCAGTTTATAATTTGGATAAAGCAATTTATATCAAATTTCAGTGCCTTTATGATGGTTTCTATCTCTGCGAGATTTCTGTCATAAAGGTGCTGTCACATTTATAACTAGTGGACTCCTATGGGCCCAGTGGTTATAAGAACTGGAGAGTTAGGTTATTGTCTGATGCAATGGCATAAAGGTATCCGCCTCTTTGTGATGATTATTACCATTACTAAGTTGAGTTTATCATTTGAAGAAAGCAACTTTCGTCGAGATGCTAGTACTGTCATGTAAGAACATGTTTATAAGGAGACTTGGCGAAAGCTCCTTACGAAAGTATTGGCAAATTCAATTTGTAACATAAAGAAAGGACCGTTGTTTGAGGTGCTGACGCCTTTCATGTCAGCAACTTGATGATAGCTTCTCTCTTGACCAACAATCGCCGACTTTAGTTAAAGTTAACGGCCTTTCCATTTGGCATGGCCTTTCCATTAGAGGCATCTTTAGTGACAAGATGGATCTATAGCCATCGACACTTCGGGAAATTTTCCTTATTCGCGATAGCTCCATTCGTCCTTGGTTCTAGGCACAAGCTTCTTTCCGAGACCGAATTTCAATTCCCGTTTTCCAGCTTTCATAAAGGAAAAAAATAAGAAAATTTGCAGGATTCTTTTGGACAACCCTAAAATTTGAGCCTGTAGGCCTAGATGTTAATAAAGTCCAGTTCATAAAGCCACAAATTTTGCCTCCTCTATCTGCTTTATGGCAAACAGCTATTAAAGTGTATTTCGTTGTCAAAATTCCCCACTAGAATTTCATTAAGATGATTTTTATGCATGTTGACCCTTGAAGCCAAACACTCAACTGAAATCTATAATATACTATACTGTAAATCGGTGGTCTCCTCGTGAGGTGCCCGGAACAAGTTTATGCGGTTCGTGAATGCTTTTTAACTACGTATATGTTGCAAGTACTTTGCTTATAGTTTTAGAGACATAAAAATAGGGACTGGAGCTTATGTGCGCGACTGCTACTGAAGGAAAAAAGCGTTAAAATGAATAGGTTGATCGGGTATGTTTGTATATCAGGTCACGTGACTAGAGTTATGTGGGAGAATTTTCCACGTTAATACAGTTAGTAAATTAATTTACCAGCCGACAGCTGGTGGCATTTCAGTTTTCCTGAAATTTCCGTTTTCTGGTTAAGGTTAAAATTAAGATATTTATTTGTTAACTCGGCATACTGGAATTGCTTGAAAAAAATATGAGTCTAAAATTTAATATTTAGCTGCCACTGCGTTTGAATATCAGAATAGAATCAATAGAAATTTCTTGCATTTCTTTCACCAAACCTTAGACTTCAGATAGAAAATTAATTAAAATTTGAATTTTTTCCCCTTGGGATATTATTATTGCTTATGTATGTTTTGATTAGTATTCAGTAAGCGAAATTTAGAAATTTATTTTATTTATTTATTATGTTTTTTAAGAAGTTCTTAAATTTTGTTCAAAAAGTACTTTGTCCAATCAGTTACTTTCACATCGAGCATTCAGCCCCCATGCAATTTGAGACTGAGAGCGCTAGTCTAAATAAAAGAACTTGAATACCACAATATACATAAATTTTTATAGCAAAATATATTTCTATAAACTGGAAATGAAATTATTTACTTTATCTGCTCAAATATTGTCATCCGGCACAATATATCGTATCAGAAAAAAACTAGCACTAATCAGATGATAACTATAGTAACACTCGAAGTCCATTTGTGGAACTCATTCACCTTGCAAAACTGGCACAGGAAAGCGTAACATCTACAGCTTCCTCCTGTTCAAACACATCCTCTATCTATACTGCAGAGCAATATTCCAGTGAAAAACAAATATTTCGCTTTTAACAAAGCTTTTACCTTCGGAGGATTTGCAAACATTAACGTTTTTTAAAGACACGTTGAGCTTTCCTCATACCTTCTAAATACGCTGACGAAACACAGCTGAAAAACTCAATAGCTAATACCTTTTCGTAAGAAGAGAACAATGAGATGTTTTATTTCAGATTCTGTTGTGTCTGTTATATTTTTTGTTCGTACCACCCTTTTTCGAATCATAGGATGCATCAGTTTAGACAAAGCATCAAAGCTGCAGATAAATGGCTTTTCCATTAGCGGTTTTTTTTTTTTTTTTTTTTTTTAATCTAAAGGCGGGTACTCGCTTATTCAGCAATGGCCACTCCTAAGGCCAGAAATTTTGGTCATTTTAATGTGAGGCACCTAATAGGCGGCCACCGTTTTCTGTTATGAAGGGATGAACAGATACAACCATACCTTCTCCGAGAGTCGAACCCGGATCCTTCAGTATCGTAGTAGGTTCCCCTAATCACTATACCATCTGGGCTGCCCATTAGCCATTAAGGTATTTGTTTAGCTGTATGCCGATAAAATGCCAAAAACCTACCTAAAATGTTTACTGGTAAAATTTTTTTTTTTCGGCTATTCGGTAAATACCATACATTAGTATGATCTGTATATGCCTTGTCTTTTTCTTTGCTGGCGACGGTTACATACATTTTTAAAAAAAGGATGAATTTAAACTGCAAAGTATATTTTTACATTTTTGGAACGATTTCAGAAACATTTAATTAATGTTTAAAATGTAAAGCGTACTTTTTTAAATATTCGATCTGGCTGGTTTCTTTCTGGACTCTGTGTCTACATCATGATTTCCATCATAGAAGAGCTTTCAGTAAAATTTCCAGAAATATTGATTTCCATTCCTCTTCCACTGCTTTCCAGAATTCTTTAATCCTGGAAGATTTTGCGCTTAGAAAGAGCTCTTTTCAAGTGACCAAAGGCACAATAATCCATAGGTAAAACGTCAGGGGACTTTGCAGGAATACGAAATGAGAATATTTATGTATGCATTACCTGTATCACTCTTCCTTTTTCTCAGAAAATGCAGTGGTAGTTTCCGAAGTATGACTTGTTGCTTTATCTTGATGAAATGTCACTCTTTGAAAGTCACTGATATAAAAGAAACGGAATTTCTTCTGTAAATATCGGAAGGTACACTTCTCTCCACACAGTATATTGAGTTGGTTTTAATATTTTCCTCCACTATTCATATTTTTAATTTCTCATTGTAAATGTATCCTGCGATGATCATAAACCTCTTACTGAAACTTTGTTTGCATTGGCGGAACCAGATCTTTAGTCTTTTTTCTTTTCGTTTTCGATAATAAAGAAATCCTTTTTTGTTGCTGTCTTTTAGATAAATTCTTACTTCATCAACGGTCGCAATGTATTTCCATTTACTTAACGTTAAATAGTTTTCATACAGAATTCTACAAACTGTTTTGCATTCAGTTACATGCTTCGGCAAAAGCTGATGAACACTACGTTTTTAGGCTTTGTTAAATTGTAAATTTTATTTTATGATTTTATTTATTGTTTCTACAGATATATTTAACTACAGATGTTGTAAATAAAATTTTAATTTAGAAGCATTTTCATGTATTCCTTTGAAGTCTTCTTTCCATGCAGGAGTATTGACTGACGGTTTTAACCTTTCCGATTAATAGTGTTGCTTATTTTGTACTTAAGAAATTTTAATACCGTGCATCTTACAACATTTTTGAACTATGAAATAGGGATATTTCTGTGCGGAAAGCACAAAAACATATCCTTTAATCCACAGCTTGTTTACATGCGTCATTTTGAAAGACGAAGGAATTTTAAAAGTGGCAGACGATATTTCTAATGTGAAATAATAAGATATTCCTGGAAATGTTTACACTAAAATATTTTTAATACTTTATAGAAATTGTTTAAAATTATCTAAACACCCTCTGTAGAATATGTTAACCCTACTTTCCACAAAATCAAATCAAGGAAAAATAACAATCTACCACAAAAACAAGTGAACGAAGAAAAGTGATCTAGAAACTCTGTTGCTAATAGATTTTAAAATTCGCAAGAATCATGGTTAATCCGATGACAATTATAAAACACAAGAATCTATATTGTAATTAATAGAAAATTAACTATTAATAATTCATATGTATTTTTAATGCATTTAAATCTGGAAAATAAGAGCAACTAGTTACGTTAAATGAATAAATAAATAAGATTAATTATAAAAATATTAGGTTAGAAGTTTCTTTTTCCCCTTTTCTTTCCTCTTTTTCTCTTATAATTAACAAAAAATTACTGTTAACAGTTTACCTGTATTTTTATTCAGGTAAATCTAGAGAATAAATCAGTGCATATGCTTACATTAAATAAATACAAAAATCTGATGTGTGCACCACATGACTTCCTTGTACGGAATATTAAATTATACGCATTTTTTCTTGCATTTCATTTAAACTTATTGGATTGAATTAAATCTACTTTGTCGATATCGCATAAACCCCAATAGAATAAATGCACTCTTTAAAATTCACTGTATTTGTTTACCATAGCTACACTTTGGCCCTAGGTTCACTTAACAGCGTTACATTTCATTCATTTTTTAACTCAGAACGCACAAAATTTATATCATCTTAAGAATTATCTAATTGTTGCCACATGTTCTATTCAAATGCTATAATAAATCTGAAACGATTTATAAAAGAAATTAAGCAAAGAACAACAACAACAACAACAAAAAAAAAAAAAAAAAAAAAAAAAAAAAAAAAAAAAACAGTTTTTCACAGACGGTTCAGTATTTCTCATTTAATTAATTCAGATACCACTTCGCGACAAAGCAAAAATACATAAAAACTCAAATTGTCTGTATTGAAAATTAAGAACTTATTTAATCTCTTAACACTTAAATCTTAACACTTATTTCCTCAAATAAATTTCAAAATGGATTAAGCATGATTTAATTCACAATAATAAAAGGAGGCGTTATATTTGTTATTGAGAATCTTACTTTCTCTAGCTTGGCAACAAATCTACTATTCTGCTGTTTCAAATGTAAACAAGCAATGGCCGCCATGGCAAAATTATTAGGCTTAGCGGCACTTAAACAACTTTTAAATTGCTGATAATTCTAAAACTATTGCATACAGAGTTACTAAGGCATAAAAACCTTAACTGAAAGATAAGAACAACATAATTCAATCATTTTTAAAGCAAAAAATTCGCAATTTACAAACATATAAGAATAAAGAAACTGAGATCACTGAGCCAAGTAACAGAGTGGATACATATATATATATATACTTTATATATATATATATATATATATATATACTTATATATATATATTATACTTTTGGTGCGGCCGATTGCAACCAAAATACGAGGTGCATATCTACATGTTATAGCAGTCATATATACAAAATTTCAACGTTCTGAGGCTACTCGTTTTTGAGTTATGCGAGATACATATGTACGTACGTACGTACACACAGACGCCACGAAAAATTCTCTTTAGAATTCATTTTAAATACGTTTTCCAATTTTTTTTTTTTGGGGGGGGAATGAGTCTTTTATTCTGTCCTCACGTACAGATGTCATGCAAAAATATCGTTAAATTGCATTCGATAGCGGTGAAAATGGATATTTGAGTTGAAGCATGATGTCTGAAACTTTTCGCGATTATAATACTTCCTTTTTACTTCGTACAAGGAAGTAAAAAGATAATTATAGATTTAAAAAAATCTTGTAAAAAGGTAAGTTAGAATTTTCTTTTTTCTTATTTTTTGTTATTTTTTATTTTCTGTTTTTTCCCCCTTCTTTTCTTTTCCTTTTTTCTTACTTTTTCTTATTTTATCTGCATCTTTTTTGTTTTGTTTTTATTTTTAGTTCCAAAGGGGCTTTGTCCCTGAAGGACTATTGTTTTCGTTTTGCGATTTTGCGTCGTAAGCTTTAAAAGGCTGCATCACATTTCATACTGTTGCCACCAAATATTATCGCCCTGTATTTTATTTGAAGAAATTAAATTATAAAGGATCTGCATAAATGTGTATATGTTTCTCACATTGTGATAAAACAACGGTACCTAGAGCCATCCAGTTTTGAATTACGTAATCCTACTGCGAATATGGGCATCTGGAAGTACAAATTTGAAACTTGGAATTTGTTTTATTATCGATTTTATATTTTGTAAAACTTGAACGAATTTTTGAATAACAAACTCAAGGATTTCAAAGCGAGCAATGGCAACGTTGTACAGAAAAACATTTTTTCTCCAGCGCGCGAGACTGTGTATCGGAAATTCTAAAGATATGCTCAATTTAAAATTATTTTGCGATATTTCTCTTGAATTGAATTTTATGGTTTAAGTGCGAAGAACATGATGTTTATTAAATAAAGGTAACACACAAAATGTTAAAAAACGCCCCTTTGAACGTAATTTAAAATTTGAAACTTTTTATATTTCCTTTTTTTTTTCCTTGTTGTACACTGTTTATGTGTTCAGATTGCGTCATAATTAAATTACATACTACATATGACGACATTAGAAAGAAAACATCGAACAATGTTGGAAAAATCAATATCTCTCCTTCTGAATGATCGCTGATTCTCTTAGCATCAGTAAAGACGGTGCTTATAAAATTATCGGGGAAAGTACTGAGGAAAAAACATTTGTTCTTGCTTTGCTCCTTCCGTATTTATGGCACAACAGAGGGAAGAACGAAATTCTACGTGTCATAATTTGAACCAATTGGCAGCCGTAATTATTCATATTTGTTTTAAATAAATGGTGAATTGGGGGGTGAAACTTGGTATTTTGCTTATGGTCCTGTTACCTGATATAAAGGATACCCTGAGACTTAAATCCAAGAAC